AATTTGATATAATTTAAGGGAATAAAGATAAGCTTTAATTTTGAAACTTGGTGTGTCTCTCCTTTTGTTGCGGCCGTCTTGAGCCCGGTCGTAACACTATCATTTAGGATGTGTAATAACTATTCAAGTGCAAAAATTGGAATCAATAAAGACACAAAATGTATTCTCACAGTTTTAATTCACAGACAAGCACTTACAAGAGCTGAAATGGTATTCTATACACCTGCGGAAATACTGTAAATAGCATGTTTTTTTCTGCACCGCTTTGCTTACACATGCATGCGTGTGCAATACGTGACCATGTGGGTCATGCACATCAGACAAAGCCTCAATCTGACCTCTTTGTCTTCCTTATTGACTGACTTAAACACAAATAAACAGGGAGAGTTAACAATAACTTTATATTGGTACCAGATATCTAACCAATTACCCGAAGCCACTTTACAACAAGCATATTTAAAATTCATTTTAGTAAAGACTTTGCACTTCAACAGCAATACTTAATTTTCCGTCATGGTGGTGATATTTAGAAAATTCTCTTTTTCATGTAACTTGAATCACTCTAATGTCTTTGCTGTGACAACTTGTCATATCCCATGAATTAAGGTACTTTAATCAAGTCTTCAGTCTAAGCAGCTTATTTTGTTTATATAAACAAGTCTTAGCCAGAATCCACCCACATTTGCATCTGTCATAACACCGAAGTTTGCATATCCACAGATTTTAGTCGTGTAACACAAAGCAAATGAACTGGTGTAGAACTTATGCAAATAGCTGAGGCTGTGAAAAATCTTCAAGGCTGAACATTGCGGTTGCATAAAATAGCACGTGTCATATTTTGACCTATTAGTAGTTACCATAGTTATTGTGCTGCCTAAATGCACTCTGCATTTATAGCAGGCTTGTACAGCAAGATGTCTGACAACTTCGTATTGTCAGTGCTGACTGTGAAAGACTGAGGGATAAAACTCTAATATTGGACCTTTTAGCTCATAGTGCAATAATTAGACTGTGTTTAATGTGTTTTTATCAAAATGTGATGACAGTTGTGAACTGCACGTTTTCTCATGAATAAAGTTAGCTTTTTGTTTAAGCTTTAAACTTTCTGTGTTTGAGCTATTTCGGGCTGCAAGGTGGTTTGGTGACTAGCACCGTCTGGCAGCTAGAAGATCCCTGGTTCGGTGAGGACAACCGGGATCTTTCTGCGTGGAGTTTGCATGTTCTCCCCGTGCAG